CACCCCTCAATACGACCTCATGTGGATATGGAATCTAAAGTGTCCTAATAAAATAAAATTCTTCCTCTGGGAATGTCTATACAACATAATTCCTTGCCGTCAGTACCTCCACTACATTGGCATTAACATTGACAACATTTTCCCTATGTGTCGAATGGAGGAAGAATCCATCATGCATATATTTATTAGATGCCCCATAGTACAATTTCTATGGAATAAACTAGGATTCAGAGACCTAACCACTACCATCTCACAACACTGGCTAATGCACACTAAAAATCTTAGGCCTAGTATGAAACCATCTCACATTCATTGGGAAGACCTACTCCCCTTCCTAATATGGGAAATATGGCTAAATAGGAATAGTAACAATACCAATAATACTACCCATAGACCATCACTTCAAAATATCATTAATCACTCTCTTGAATTTCACTTCATGACCTCTACAAATCCGCATTCAAAAATAACCACAACTGTTCAAATTTGTTGGTATGCACCCCAGAAAGGCTGGATACAATTAAACATAGATGGTGTATTTACAATTCAAAACTGTGGAATAGGTGGTGTATTTAGGGACAACACTGGGAAATGAATATTAGGCTTTAACAAATACTGTGATGGTCTATTTCCCTTACATATTGAATTGCAGGCACTCCAGGAAGGTCTTCAATTGGTGATCAGGTTTGATTTATTTCCGCTAGAAATAGAAACAGAGTCAATAGAAGTAATAAATGCTATTAATAACGGACATGCGACATTAGCTAATCTAATACACTCATGCAAGACATTAATGCACCAAGAGAAGGGCCTTCTACTTCGACATAATTTCAGACAAAGAAATTTAGTAGCGGACGCTCTAGCCAAGGAAGCAAAAAATAAGGAAAACAAACAATATAAACCAGGAAGCACAAAACCTTTTGCGAATGCATGTAACGACCCGGCCAGTCGTTTTGAGCATTTGCACTTCACTCGGTTGTTTGAGGGAACGAGTAGCTCTGTATGAAGTATTCTGACTTATGTGAATCATTGATTTTGGTTTCCAGGTTATTCGGAATTGATTTGGAAGAATGATTCTTAGCTAGAAGCTTTAAATTTTAAAGGTTTGACCAAGTTTTGAATTTCTAGAATTTGACCTCGGACTGGATTTCTGATGGTTCTGTTAGCTCCGTTGGATGATTTTGGTCTTAGGAGTGTGTCCGAATTGTGATTTAGAGGTCCGTAGTAGAATTTGGCTTGAAATAATGAAAGTTGGAATTTTGAAAAGTTTGATGGGGAGTGGACTTTTTGATGTTGTGGTCGGATTCCGATTCCGGAAGTTGGATCAGGTCCATAATTTCAAATGTGACTTGTGTGCAAAATTTAGGTCAATTGGACGTGATTTGATAGGTTTCGGCATCAGTTGTCAAAGTTTGAAGTTTCAAGTTTATTGATTTCGAATTGAGGTGTGATTCGTCGTTTCGGTATTGTTATGTGTGTTTTGAGGCCTAGAGTAGGTCCATATTATGATATGAGACTTGTTGGTATGTTCGAGTAGGGTCCTGAGTGTGTTGGGGAAAATCAAGTTAACATTTGATTTTCATTATGTGCTGACATGTCAAGACACGTGGATTAATAAAAGAATGACAACTGGCAGAGAGTATTTAAAGAGTTGTGAACCTTAATAGGTACAGACAAGAATACCAGAAAATAAGAAGGGATGATTACTCGTATCTCTTGATAATTTGAAGAGGCATCGGAAGGATAAACCTAGTTAGCAAAAAGTACAGGTACGTATTATCTGTAATTAATGAGCATCAATGAAGGAAAATATTATAGAATCTTCACGAAATAGTTACAATTGCTAATTATAACGTTACATTAATGCCAGTAATTGCTCATTATGGCTCTATTATGAGAGGAACGAAATGTCGTACTTAGGAATAACTATAAAAGGAGAGAAATAACATTTATAAGGGGACACAAATTATTATTGGAATACACTAATTTACTTTGCTTTTTTTTTTTTGCTTACTCAGCTACATTTCTATTCAATTTTTTTGTTTCTTTATTTGATTATCAGTAACCCGAGTTTTTCTAAAATTAAACTTTGACCAAAGATCCTATTTTCTGGTTAAACAAATTGGTTCCGTTACCGAGAATCTGATAATCATTTGCTTTCTAAATCGACTCTCTTGTAAAAACAATCATGTCAAATGTCAATGACAACAACCAACAAATTACAACACCACGAAAATCTGCAACGTCATGAGAATCAACAAGGTGAAGGAACTCCAGTTCCATCGCCACGAAACTCTCCTCGACAATCCTGAGAGGGGACTCCTGATGGATCTAAATCAAATACGAATGATCAGTTCGACAATAATCAAGCTATTGATGAAGCTTTGAAAAATTAATCGCCCAACAGGTCAGTAATGCTCTTCAGGCTTTTGCTAACCAGCTGCCAAGTGTTGCACCACCAACACCAACTCCAAACAACAATATCGTGGAAAAACCTCACTCAGGACTTGTTAACTCATGTAGTGGAGGAACTCCTAGCGAATCTCGTGATAGAGGCTTAGGTAACCCAGTCAATTCTGATTTACAGAAGGAGCAGAGCGATCGCATAGAGCAGATACCTGGAGTGCCACATGTAATCAAGGGAATGGATATGGAAAATACTCTCAACAACCTTGGAAGCCAAGTGTCGATCCTTTACCAATTCCAAAGAAATTCAAGATGCCCAATATTCCAAAATATGATGGAACAACTGACCCACGGGATCACGTAACCGCATTTACAACTGGCATAAAGGGCAACGACTTGACCAAGCAAGAAATTGAATCGGTACTAGTCAAAAAATTCGGAGAATGCTCACGAAGGGAGCATTAACATGGTATTCTCTTTTACCCAAAAATTCTATAGATTCTTTTGCCGAGCTTGCAGATTCATTTATCAAAGCACACTCGGGAGCTCAAAAAGTTGAAAAAACGAATGGAGGACATTTTCAAAATAAAACAAGGAGATACAGAGCTGCTCAGGGAATTTGTAGACAGATTCCAGTGTGAGAGGATGATGTTTCCACGTGTACCTGATAACTAGGCGGCTATGGCCTTTGACAGTAATCTAAATAAAAAAAGATCGGAAGCCACGAGGAGACTCAAGGAAAGTTTACGAGAATTTCCAGCAATAACTTGGAATGATGCTTATAACAGATACAACACAAAGCTACGAATAGAAAAAGATACTATCATTCAGTCTCGAAAAGATGAAAAGACGAGTTCAAGACGAGCTGAAACTAAAAAAAGTCCGGCAAAAGCAGGTACGAGCCTTATATGGGACCAGCTGGAAGAGACTCAGGTTCAAAATAGGAAAACCCAAGGTATGATCATAGATGTTGAGATAGAGAGTCAGGTTCATCATCAAGGTTCAGAAAAGAACAAAACATGATAGAGACACGAGATGATGACAGAAGCTCAAAGGCAAAAATTGGCGGGTACAGTTTAAATGTTAGCACATCCGAGTTGGTGGCTGTTTTAATGAGCATGGGAGACAAGGTACGGTGGCCAAGGAAATGAGATCAAACCCCAATAGGCAAAATCCTGATTTTTGGTGCGAGTTTCACAATGACCACGGTCTCAAAATGGAGGATTGCAGATTGCTGCAAGGTGAAGTAGAACATTTATTAAAACAAGGATATTTAACTGAATTGTTAAGTGAAAAGGGAAAGAAAGCATATATGAAGAATAGACAGGAGCCACCAAAACCTCCTTCACCAAAAAGGATGGTTAATGTCATAAGTGGAGGAGAAGAGATCAATGGCGTAACATACACGACAACAATGAAAATGTCAAAAATTACAGTTACACACAGGAAGCGAGTTCGACATGTTTTGGAAGAGGATAGTATTACATTTGATGATGCAGAAGCAGATGGCGTGCTAACCCTGCATAATGATGCACTGGTAATATCTTTATTTGTACATGACACTAATGTAAAATGAGTTCTGATTAATTTAGGTAGTTCCGTGAATATTATTTTGTTAAGAGTGGTAAACGAGATGCAAGCCGAAGATAAGCTGATACCCAAGGCACACACCTTGTCTAGTTTTGACAACTCGAGCGTCGTAACAAAAGGGGAAATAATACTCACCACATTTGCTGAAGGAGTAGTCAAAGATACCAAATTTCAAGTAGTAGAAATAGATATGGCTTACAATATGATTCTTGGCAGACTGTGGATTCATGAGATGGATGTTGTTCCATCTACTTTATATCAGGTTATCAAATTCCCTTCACAATGGGGAGTACAGAAAATCTGTGGTGACCAATAAGAATCTTAGAGATTAATTTCGTAGCAGATTCAAGCGCAAAAAGCGGAGAAAAATAGCAATCCCAGAATTCGGTTGAGGATGCTACAACACAAGCCTCAACTAAGCACGAACGAACAGATGTAGACTCGAGGCCTGATACCATCCAAGAACCAGAAGAATATGAAAACATCAAAACAACGATTGAGGAATTGGAAGCTGTAGTACTACTTGCACCCTGGCCTAACAGAAAAGTTTACGTTGGGACCAACATCAGCTAAGAAATGAAATGTAAGTTGACGGAATTTTTAAAAGCTAACATAGATTGTTTTGCTTGGTCCCATTCCGATATGATAGGTATACCATCAGAAGTGATGACCCATAAATTAATTGAAGATCCATCATACTCACCTGTCAAACAAAAGAAAAGAAAGCAAGGTTCTTACAAAAATCAGGCGATTCAAGATGAGGTGTAAAAGCTTTTAAAATTGGGTCCATCCGCGAGGTAAAGTATCCAAATTGGTTAGCCAATACTGTAGTAGTACCTAAAAAGAATGGTAAGTGGCACGTTTGTGTAGATTATACTGATCTAAATAAAGCTTGTCCTAAAGAATTTTTTCCCTTACCGCATATAGATCAACTAATTGATGCTACTGCAGGACATGAATTATTAAGCTTTTTAGATGCCTATTCAGGGTATAATCAGATAAAAATGGATTCTATTAATGAAGAAAAATCATCATTCATAACAGACAAGGGGACTTACTGTTACAAAGTTATGTCGTTCGGTCTCAATAATGCTGGGGCCACATATCAAAGGCTAGTGACCAAAATGTTTCATTATTATCTAGGGAAAACCATGGATGTTTATATAGATGATATGCTGGTCAAATCACAACATGTAGGGGCTCATATTCAATACTTGTTTGATACATTTCAAATTCTTCGCAAATTTAACATGAAATTAAATCCTGAGAAATGCGCGTTTGGAGTATCATCAGGTAAGTTCTTGGAATTTCTTATTTCTAACAGTGGCATTGAAGTAAATCCCTAAAGCTATTGAGGAAATTCCGGATATATTAATGAGTAAGAAAGAAGTATAGAGACTGACAGGAAAAATAACTGCTTTGGGAAGGTTTATTCCAAGTCATCAGAAAAATGCTTCAGGTTCTTTTCAATCCTAAAAAAGAAAGATCAATTTGCATGGACTGAAGAGTGTTAGCAGGCGCTTAAAAATTTGAAAGTATACTTGTCAAATCCACCATTGCTCGTAAAACCAAAAGATGGGGAAAAACTACTCATCTACCTTGCTGTTTCAGAAGTAGCGGTAAGTGCCGTATTATTTCAAGAGGACCAAGGTAAACAATCTTCGATTTATTATGTTAGTAAGTCATTATTGGATGCTGAGACTCGGTATCCTCATCTAGAAAAACTTACACTTGCGTTAATTATGGCATATAGGAAGTTAAGGCCTTATTTTCAATGTCATCATCCTATCTCTATAGTAACTGCCTAACCCTTACGTAATATATTACATAAACAATAGTTATCAAGTAGACTAGACAAATGGGCTATAGAGCTAAGCGAATATGACATCATATATCAACCAAGAACTGCAATAAAGTCACAAGTTTTAGCAGTTTTGTGGCAGATTTTAGTCAAGGGATACAATTGGATGCAGAAAAAGAATTGCAGGTATTTAACGGGTCTAATCCAGGTACTTGGACCTTATTTACTGACGGTTCATCAAATGTAAAAGGTGCAGGTCTAGGCATTGTTTTGGTACCACCTACGGGAGAAACCATAAGACAAGGCGTAAAATGTCATCCTATTACTAATAATGAGGCAGAATATGAAGCTGTGATTGCAGGTTTAGAATTATCACGAGAGCTCGGAATAGAGAAAGTCGTAATCAAGAGCGATTCATAGCTCGTAGTTAACCAAATGCTGGGGACTTATATAGCTAGAGAGGCAAGGATGCAACAGTACTTGGAAAAGGCACAAGATTTAGCTAATCTCGCATTCTATTACTAATAATCTCGCATCCTATTACTAATAATCTCGCATTCGCCACAGAAGTAACAAATGAAGAAAATGCTTCCGTGATACATTTGTTTCATTCAATTCTTGATCAAGATAAAAATGAGGTAAATTAAAATAATCTAACTTGGAATTGGAGAAATGAAATTGTCAATTTTTTGCAGTATGGAATACTTCTTGAGGATAAGAAAAAGGCTCAGGAACTTTGCCAAAAGGCAGCTCGTTACTGTTTAAATCAAGGCAATTTATATCGAAAGATGTTCGGTGGCCCTTTAGCAAGATGTCTCGGACCTTCTCAAACTGAATATGTGATGAAAGAAATACAGAAGAGACATTGTAGAAATCACGCTGGAGGAATATCTTTGGTAAAAACCATAATTAGAGCCGGCTATTACTGGCCAAAAATGAAAGAAGAAGCAAAAAATTTTGTGGCTAAGTGTGACAAGTGCCAAAGATATGGCAACAACATGCATCGACCAGCTGAATTATTACATCCAGTTGTGGCACCATGGCCTTTTATGAAGTTGGGGATGGATATCATAGGACCATTACCACAAGCTAAAGGTAAGGCAAGATTTCTGTTAGTACTCACTGATTATTTTACTAAGTGGGTAGAAGCAGGAGCCTTCAAACAGGTACGAGAAAAAGAGGTCAGGGACTTCATCTGGCGTAACATTATATGCCGATTTGGGGTGCCAAAGGAGATCGTGTGTGATAACGGCCCACGATTTATAGGTGCACAAATCACAGAATTCTTTCAAAGTTGGCAAATTAAAAGGATTACCTTGATATCTTATCATCTGGTGGGCAATGGACAAGTCGAATCGACAAATAAATTTATTATCAAAAACTTGAAGAAAAGATTAGAAGAATCAAAGGGTAATTGGCCAGGAGTTTTGTGGGCTTACCGAATAACAACAAAAATAAGTACGGGAGAAATACCGTTTTCACTTGTATACGGAGTTGAAGCCTTAATTCCAGTCGATATAGGGGAACCAAGCACAAGAATTATTCAAGCTAATGAGGAGTTGAATGAAAGAGAGATGCAGGTAAATCTAGATTTACTTGAAGAAAGGAGGGAAACTGCCGTAATAAGGATGGCGGCACAAAAATAAGTTATTGAGCAGTATTACAATCGGAAAGCTCATCTCAGGTACTTCATGATTAGGACTATGTACTCAAGAAAGTTTTCCAATCCACGAGGGCAATCAATGCAGGAAAATTAAGTCCAAACTGGGAAGGGCCTTACAAGATTCGTGGAATTGCACGAAAAGGTGCTTATGAGCTTGAAACCCTAGCGGCAAGATCTTACCTTCGAATTGGAATGCTGTTCATCTAAAGAAGTACTATTTCTAAGGAAAGGAAATACTGACAGCAGGTATCCACCAATTACGATTTTATTTTTGAATTGTTAAAATTATACTAATGATTTTAGATGATAGGCAAAAAGCTAGACCACACTAAATGATGAATTTAGACCTGAAAGACATGCAGAAGAAACATAATTCCCCTTCTAGGGTTGTAACTATCCTGATAGAAATAGAATGGGTTAAACAGTCTACATCTAATGTTATACCTCCGAGTCCCTTATATTTTTCCTTTTCAGGAAAAGGACCGTATGAAAAGAATAATCAAGTGCTCGAGATTTCATACTTCAAAGCTCAAACACTTAGGGGACTGTATAATACATATAATATATGTATAAGGAAGGCAAAGAAGACTGAAACAATCAAATTTCAAGTCAAGCTTAAAGTCTACTCAACAAGTGTAAAGTTCAGAGCAAAAGTCACGAGCCAAAAACACAAGCAAATACAAGCCTGATTCAAAAGCCTGTGAAGAATACATTCATGGATATAAATTTAGGAAGTATTTAGCCATGGGTTATAAAGAAACCCTACCCTTGGATCTTCTTTTTACAAATCTGTTGTAAAGAAAACAGTTATGGGAGAGTTATAGAAGATACTTAAATACATGCACGATGTTATTTAAACTTGGCAAAGTTAGAATAACAACTTTATCAAAAGTTTTTCCAAGAAACATGTGTGTTCCTATTTCTTCTTTTGTATGTTTACACCATTATGAAGTTAAGACGTCTTCTTCATTAAGTGTCATATATAAAAAGGCCCTCTTTTATAATTCATGTTTGATTCAAAAAACCATGAAGTTAATTAAGCATTACTAAAATGCAAAAAGTCAAAAGGGTAAGACAAAAACCCACATATTAAAATAAAATTAAGACCTTGAGCTTATAAAGAAACAAGGTAAAGTATTAAAAGAGTATAACAGAAACTCAAGAGAATTAAGTTAAAACAAAAACTTGATAATATTAAGTTAAAACTAAGTATGAACTTAGTCTTAAACTGATTGTCATTTTAAATCCCCGAAAAGACCTGGGGACATATTGTTACCAAAAACATTACCCCCAAATGGGACAAGGGGCAAAACTACCACACATTCCACTAAAAAGGAAAAAAAGGGGGTCAAACTTCACAAATAAACTTTCACTGTGGAGCAGGTTCAGAAGAAGAAATCAAGACGACATCATTAGCAACAGAAGGCTCGATTTGGTCTGTAAGAGCTGGGACATCTACCGCACCAGGATCAGCTTCAACGTTCTTGGGAGTATCAACCATGGGAGAAGAGAAACTTTGGTCTTGCTGAGTTTTTTCAATGGTCTATTTAATCTTTGCTAACTCACCATCCAAGTTAAAACTTTCTTGGTTAACCTCCATAAGGGTATCATAGCGCGTGTTCAAAATGGCCCAACTTACCTCAACAACAGTTTTGTCCTCAAGAGCCTCGGAGTCTCTTTCCCGATGATCAATTTCACTCTTGAGCTCGTCCCTCTCAACCAAAGCAGCATCGTAATAAGATTGTAAAGGGGCAAGGGAACTCTCCAAAAACTTGACTTTATCAGAAGACACACGGAGATCTTCTTGGGTCTGGGTGAGCGTTTGAACAAGTTCACCTACATAGACCTCTTTGTCATTCAACAAGGCCTTTAGACCTCTGATATCTTCAGTGGCTTTGGAGAGTTGTTCAACAAAAGATGTCTCGAGGAGGTTTTTATCCTTGCCTGCCTAGTTGGAAGAAGCTTTCTCAAGTGTTAACTCTGATGCCATGACCCTCAACTGCTTCTCTAAGGTACATTTGTTTTCTTCTAAAACTTCCATCTCAAGCTGGAGACTTTCATATTGCTCTTTCCAATTATCTGCCTCAATCTGGAATCATGCATTATTTTTCTATATGGGAAACTATTTTCATCATCTCCTTACCGATGAGATTGATCTACATAAAAAAAGGAGTAAGAATTTTAGCAGAAGGAAAATGGAATGGAACATGAAAAGACATCAATACCTTCAATGATGATTGCACAATGTCATTCATACAAGTCAAAGAACTATGACTTTCTAGCTTGAACTTTTCAACTGGACCAATCAAGGGTTTCAACCATACGTCACCTTGGACTGACTTCTTCAAAAGATTACCATCGGCAGGAACCTCAATGGTAATTTGCTTCATCACTCTACTTCCACTTGAAGAACCAACTTTAGTTCGAGAAACATTATTAGCGGGGACTGTAGATGATGTCATAACAGCTTGAGGTAGAGCAGAAACAGCAGCAGTAAAAACATGCAAAGAGCGTTCTATTGGGACAAATACGATGAAAGATGCAAAGGGTACTTCATCAAACACCAAATCAAAGCCTTCACTATCAAACACACGTGAAAAAAGTTGTTCATCAGAGTCACGAGTTGCCATAGGACTATCTTCGTCAGAACTCACTAAAGTGGCTTCAGCAGGCTCGGTCATGGGAACAGAATGGGGAGGAGTAACTTCATCATCTGAAATGACGCGTTTTCTAGCCCGTGGCCCGTTAATCAAAGAACTTCCATCCCATTCCTCCTCCTCTTCAGAATCCTGGGGTTTGTCAACTTTCCTTTTCGATGAAGAACTCAAAACTATCTCCTGAGCTCTTGCCAAAGAAACTCTAGAAGCTACAATCGATGCAACACTTACACTGCAAATAGGAAACCCTGATAAAAATAAGGGTTAAAAACATTCTAATGAAAGAATAGATGAAAATAGAAAGAAACAATTCTTACTGTGGGTCTTAACCTTCCAACCAACCCTATTTGAGAGGTACTTCCAAGATCTAACTTCCATTGGAGCAATGGTCTATAACTTTTCTACCTAACCACAGAAATTAGAAATCTCTTCAACAGTTCCCATGGTTGCTGAAATAAGAAAAGTTAAATAGCCACGGGAAGAACAAACTCTTTTCAATAAAAAAAAGAAGAGAAAGTTGTAAAGAAAACTTACGTGAAAAATTCCACTTTTCAGGGAATGACATATTTTCTTCACCTACTAGCCCTATCGTGGGAGCGGCAACAAATCGGACATACCAGCTACGATCTTTATCATCCTCAGGGCTGACTAAAATTCTTTTACTCCTCGCCACCAAAGTAAAAATTCCATGACAGAATAGCTTAAGGGAGTAAAGGTGGATTAGATAAAAAAAAAGGTGAAGGGTAGTTGAGCCAAATTAGCCAAGTATCGTAAACATGCAACAACCCTCCAAATATTGAAACCAACATATCTCCTTCAATATAAGGTCAAATGGAGTGATTCAAGAGCCTAACTTGACTAAAATTTCACAAGAAATCCATTGGAGGCATCAAAAGGGATTTTCAGGATCGTTTGACATGAGAAACGAGACAGAATATCTGGCAAAAAAATATATAAAATAAGGATTTGTTCATTTGGTCATATTTTGAGTTGGGGAGCTCGGATTTGGGCGATTTTCACCATATGGATTGGGGTAAGTATTCTCTACTCAGTTTTTGTTATATTTCATGAATCCATCTTCATTTTTGGCATTTGATTGATGATTTCAAAGTGAAATTTGGGGCTTTTTGCCTAAATTTTTATCAAGTGAATTTTTATGTTTTGAACATCGATTCATAGTCGGAATTGGATGAAACTAGTATGGTTGGACTCATAGTTGAATGGGTTGTCAGATTTTGTGAGTTTTGTCAGGTTCCGAGATGCAGGCCCAGGTTGGGTTTTTTGGCCAATTTTGGGCTTTTGATTAAAGATTCGACCTTTTTCAATTGGGATTGGTTCCTTTAGCTTTGTTTGGTATATTTGAGTTGTTTTTGGTTAGTTTCGAGCCGTTTGGAGGCCGGAACACGTGAGATGGCATTTTTGGAGCATCGCTTGGCTTGCTTGGTATTGGAATTGGCTTGTTTAATGTAAGTAACGATTGTAAATCTAGTCCTGAGGGTATGAAACCCCGGATTTTGCATCATTTTACTACTTTGAGGTGATGCACATGCTAGGTGATGGGCGTGTGGGCATGCACTGTTGGGGATTGTGACTTGGTCCGTCCCGTAACAACTAATAAAGTTGCGTATTTGACTGAAACTATATGATACTTATGTGTTTTAGAAAGAATTTCTATATACTGGGCTGAATGCCACATTTGGGCCTTGTGCCAGAGCTGTTTGCACCCTTAGGGGACTTTTCTTATTATCCTCTCACTGTTTTGATTGAAAATCTATACTCAGTCATGCTATGTTGTACTGATTTCATAACTCAGTCTTTATTATCCCGTTTTGATGCATATAAAATGTTATTTTGGGCTGAGCACCCTGTTTTTACTGATAGCCCGAGTGGCTTAAGAGGTTTATGACTGAGTGAGGCCGATGACCTGTTTTGTGAGGTTTTATGGGATCAGGCTACGCACCGCAGTAGGTTATTACTGATTCATGATTATGTGAGGCCGAGGTCCTGATTGATTTATGCCACGAGGTTGCTTATTATAGCATTTGGGCTGTAGGAGCCCCTCCGGAGTCTGCACACCCCCAGTGAGCGCGGGTACCCTAATTGTGAGTGATATTTTGCCCGAGGGGCTATATATGAGTGATGGTGAGGTTTGCCCGAGGGGATGTTTAAGATTTATGTTGCCCGATGGGCTGTATACGAGTGAGGGTTGCCCGAGGGGCTGTCCATGATTTCATCATTTTGCTCACGGTTGCATTGAGCCTTTATTTTGAAAACTGTTGAAAGACATTTTAAAAATGATATTTACTGAATCTAAATTTAAATAAGCTGAGTTGATCCAAACTATGGTTTTAAAAGCCTATTGTATTTTACTGAGATTTCATGATATGAACTGTATATGCTTTATTGCTCGTCACTACTTCTCAACCTTTATTTACTTTGGTTACTTACTGAGTTAGGGTACTCACGTTACTCCCTGTACCTTGTGTGTAAATCCAGGTATTTTTGAACCCGATAGCGGGTATTGATTATTCAGTTGCAGATCCATCAAAG